AAGTAGTTAATGGAATTAATTCTTCTCTTATCTGTGTATGCATACATGCATAGTATGGACCAAGCCCAGTCAGTGGCTTGCTCAAGCAAGGTAAATGTTCTGCCAGTGAGATATTCAAGCACCCTCACTGATTGGCAAATATCTGCATATTTGTGAGTTCTAAAACAAAGTGATTCTGCTTCACACTCTGAAGACTTCTTGGGGATAACCAATTTTTTTGTAATGGCTATAGCTGGTCTTAGAATTCTAAAGCACATTAGCCTAGAGACATGGGGGAGGGCCTAGGTCCTAACCTAAAGAACTTGACTGATTTTGATGATCCCTCCTGGAAGGCCTCCCTCTCCTTGGGGAGTGAATGGGGGGTAGGATGGGGGGGGGGTTGTGGGATGCATGGGAGGATGGGAGGCAGAGGGAACTGGGACTGACATGTAAAATAAAAAATATTAAATAAAAAATTATAAAAAAAAACCCCAAAGAATTCTAAAGCACATTAAACTCATCCCAAGGAACAAAGGACCCACCCCATCTGTTACTGAGCATCTCATGTCTTAAGGTTGTAAGCTGTTCAAGTACTTGCTGCAAATGTCTGCTTGCTGGGTTCTAACTTCTGTAACCCATCTCCGTGTTAAGTAGCTTTATACAGGAGGCTAAAAATGTCCACCTGGTGTGTACACACACACACACACACACACACACACACACACACACACACACACGCATGTGTAAAGGTCAGAGACCAATCTTGGACGTTGGTCCTGGCCTCTACGTTGTCTGAGACAGGATCTCTGCAGTTGCTTGTTTGCTGTGTATGAGGGGTTAACTGGCCCACAGGCAATGTAGGTCTTCAGGTAACATCCACTTGCACTATATAGTGCCTGGCTTTTACACGAGTTCAGGGGATTCAAACTCAGGTTCTCACACTGGTGTAATAGGCATTTTAGCCTACAGAACTCTTTTAACCAATAAATCATCTCCCCAGCCCTCAACCTGATTTTATGAGGCAGGCTTCCACCGAATCTGGCACTCACTGATTGTTGCTTTTGCCTCCCTAGCATTGAGATTTCGGGTAGGTGGGTGCTGAGCTACACTATAATGCATGTCTAGCAAGCAAATTATTGATTGAGCCATCTCTCCGGCCCCTACAAATAATCTTTTCTTAAAAATCCAATTTACTGTAATTTTATATATGTGTTTGTCTGCTTGTCTTTATGAATACCATGTGCATTCAGGCGCCCGCAGGTTACAAAAGGGTGTCTGAACCTGTGGAACTGGAATTACAATTGTAAGCCATCCAGCCCCCCAATCAATCAAACGTTTACACATACACTTTCACTTGTATGTTTCTTTTCTGTTTTACTCTGTAACACTCCATGCCCCTGAACTTACTATGTAGGCCAGGCTAGCCTCAAGTTCACAGTAATCCCCCACCTCAGCCTCTTGGGAGCTAGGACTATGGGCATGTACCACTATACCCTGCAGCTCCAGGTGTTACTGCTAGGCACCAGTCTTCTGACTTCATCTTCCCTGAGTCATTAGCCCTGTGTGACTGGAGAGGAGCTGTTCACAAGGCACTTAACACTTTCCTGAAAGTAAGAAGAAGGCAAGCCAAGCCACAAGTTCACATCCTTGGGGAGATGAATGCAGGCAAGATAAGGCGTTCCAGTCACTCTCCCAGGACAGTGGTTGGCTTCGACCTGCGTAATAGCCAGCTCCATATGCCAACAATCACAAGGTCTATTTGTTTTTGTTTTTTTTTTTTTTTCTTTTTTGAGGGGGTATTAGTTTCCTGACAATATTGTTCCATATTCCCTACTTGTGGAATTATGGAACAATTACATATTTGAAATTTGAACATAAAAAGTTATAACAGCTTTTAAAAGCAATTGTTTCTTTTATAAAATTAATTCACTAGGTAATTAGAGTAAGGAATGACTTCTGACCTCCTAGTGGAGGAGTAGGAAAACACCTTTCCTACATTAATGAGAAGCTATAATCTACCTTCTAAATCTTTATCTTTAAAATAGTTAAAAACCAAATGTGCCTATGGTTATTTATAAAAGCATTTGGTATTAAAAATGGCCCAAAGCCTTCGTTCTGAGTCAGACACTCTAAGCTGTTTGCAGTGGTAAATACATCCCTTGAACACATGATTAGTGTTCAGAACAGAAAGATGGTTCATTTCCCGACGACTCAACCAGTGTCTGCTTCAATTGGTTTAAGAAAAACAGAATCCATTTTCTAACACAGCTCTAAAATTAATCTGTGAAGTAAAAACAAACAACTGCTTTAAAAGATCTATGCATGGACCAATAGTTGAGCAGAGCTTCATTCAGTCTCATGACTCATCACTGTGGAGAGAGAATGCATGGCTTTCTGGAAGGTTTATCCCATTCTCTCCTGGGCCAGAAGGGCCACAAGTAGCCATCTTCTGTGTTCTACTGTAGCCCAGCCACAAGCTTTTCTCAAGAACTAGCCCCAGGGCAGACCCTGCTCTGACCAGTGTCACCCCTGTACCCACTGGCCTCCATGCTAGTGTAGTGGACAGGACAAACATCTCTCTGCCCCAGGAGGAGGGTGTACTGGTCCACCTGGGTCTTGTCTAGCACTCTGGCATCTCAGAAAGTGACATGCAATGGGGTGGAGGCCCTAGGTGGGGAGGCACTCATTTTTATCAATCTACAAGTCTAGACTCCACACAGGCTGGAAGAGATTGGTCCTAACTGTCCTAAAATCGTTCCCCAAGTGGCTTCTGTTTATCCCCTCAGTGGAGACTATGTTCTTAGCAGTATTCCAGCACAGTGCTCTACCTGATCAACAAGCAGAAAGGTGAGCATGCACTGTAAAGGGAACAAGGGCTGAGAAATAAGTCTCAGGGTGTTACTCTCACATCAATACACCGAGCTCCACAGCAAGATTGAAAACTGAAGATCTGAGGCTCACATGACCTTTGCAGCCAGAGGTATTAGCTGAGGGTGGGTTTTTGCAGATTGTGTAAACTTAAGAGGGGCGCAGTCCACGTTGGATCACACGAGGAAGCAAGAAGACAGTGTTGAACCACCAGAGCTGGCCTTCTGGGTTTACAGTAGCTTGCTGGTATTCTCAGTCTTGCTGAGTCCAAGGTCTGAATACCATAAATTCCCTTCCACTAATGATACAGAGAAAGGATTATAGGTCTTCTGAAGCCTTTATGTTCTGCTCAAAGGCCTTAAAAAAAAAAAAAAAAAAAAGACGATTTCCTGATGCAGGGACCAGTAAACTTTAAGCCATAGGGCACAAAAATGGATAGTCCATACACAGATGAACTCAACTGTGTTCTGGTCAGATTTTACACACAGACACACAAAGTTACTCTGTTGTATTTTCACATGAAAAGTCCTCTTGGTTTCTAAGTCATTAGGAAAAGTGAAGCCCATTCTTAGTTTGCATGCCATATAAAACCAGGCGGTGCCTCACATGCCATATAAAACCAGGTCTGCCTCACAGGCCATCACTTCGCCAACCACCGTGCTTGTCCTTGTCTGTGTCCAGAGCTGAGCACAGTGCGTGGCCTGGAGTCTTAAATAAACAACATATGCCCCAGACTAGTAGAGGCACCATGGGGACAACACAGGAGATAAACTGAGACATTTGATTCCTTCCGTGTCTAGGGCTTTTTCTATGAACTTTTTAACTTTCTCTGGACTTGAATTCCCTGCATGGGAATCAGAGTAATTGATAAGTCTCCTCCACCCATGAATGTCTGTGACCTTACCTATAAAATGTCACCATGTTCATCACCCATCCCATGTGAGGCTGATGTGCAGCCAGCAGAGCAGGACCCTGGGTCTGGTATATATCTGCAAAATTCTGGAGTACCACCCAAGGGCCATGGCCAGGAGAAAAACTTGTTGCACACACCATGACAGGCTTGACAGTAACACTCATGTGATTCTTACCTACAGACCTGAGGAGATCCCCTAGAATCCCCACACCACCATGTGGTATAGGAGTCTATGAAACTGGAGTTGGGTACACAGAGACCACTGTAAGAAGGCCAGGAGAAGGGGTCCAGGAAGTGGGAGCCTGCAACCCAAGAGCTCAGGAGGCAGACGAGAAAGATAGGTCAGGGTGTGCTGTCATGGTGCCTGCACGGGTTGGGGCAGTGGACCAGGCACATTCAGAAGTGTTCTTGCTACTTAGTAAGTGAGAAGACTCATGAGCTTGCTCTGAGGGCATCATTTTGCACAATTATGTGAAACGGATGGGAGGTGTCAAAAGGCAAGAAACATGGAAAGCTATGGTGCAGATGGGATTCTGAATCGACACTACAGCAGCATCTGCACGGTTAGCATGAAGCTCTGGGCTTCACTGGCAATCCCTCATATCAATCAATTCTGAGAAAGCTGTGGCAAGAAGACAGGGTTAAGACCTAACGGCCAGAATGGCCAGTGGAGTCTGGATGAGCAACCCTGGAAAAATAAATGGGCAGCATTAAGGCGTGGATTATCCCGGGGGAAGGGTGCCCTGGAAGACTCTCTTAGGAAATGGGCAGGTTATAGCTGAGTGGAAGCAAGGAGATGGTAACATGGCGGAGAAGAGTTCCTATTCCCAAACAAGAGCCAAGAGCATCTGACCACTGTACATCTATGGTGGCTGCATGAGAAAATGCAGGCAGAGAGTCTTAACAAAACTATGTATAGAGATGTAGGAAGGCAGGCAGCTTCATAAAGCTTGCTATAAAAACCAACCAACCAAACGAACAAACCAATCAGAGACTGTCTAGGGATGATACAGCTGTGGGCAGTAAAGGGTGAGTCAGTGCTGATTTGAGATGAACGCCAAAGGCTTTGGGAAAAGAAAAGAGAAGTTGTCAAAATCTTCCAAAGGACTGGGAGCTAGCTGTGTGACACCCCCCCCCCCCAGGAGGACATGAGAGCGATCCTTCTAGAGAAGGCACATGCCTGCTAGGGTCAATGCCCAGCACGTGAGCAAAGCCTGTGCCAGCTCACCCAGACACTCACCTTTTCCATTAACAGCTAAGCCCGTGGCCATGGCAGCAGTCACGGGGCCAGCAACCTGAGGCACTAGTGGATGTATTCGGGGCCTGCTCCCCATCCTGGCTCGTTCTGCACCAGGGCCCAGCAAAGCTCCAATGGGCTTCTCTGCAGTCACCTCTGGTGCTGTGGTGTCCTCGGGACCCTGCTCCACAGGGTCCAGCTTCTCAGGACTCTCCGCCTGGAAGCTGTCCACCGAGGTCCTGCCCTTTACAGGGCTCTTAGGCACGAGAATCTTGATCCCTGACTTGGCAAGGTCCATGTTCTTGCGGTTTGCAAGAGATGGGGCTGTGTTTTTCCTGAACTTCTGGCTGGTAGCCAACAGCTGGCTGTTTTTGGATTCATGGTCTTTGCCTACCACAAGTGCTTTGGGGGCAGTCTTGGAGAGGTTACTGTGGGTGGACCTGGAGATCTGCTTCCGGGCGTTGCTGGGGGAGGCTCTGTTGGCACGGGCCAGGCTACCTTCCTTCTGCCTGTCACTGTGGCGCCGATTGAAGTCATGGATATATTCCTCACAGTTCACCAGGTGCTGCTCCGGCTCCCACGTGTCATCTTCACTCTCATAGCCTTTCCAACGCACCAGATACTCTGTTTTTCCTTTCTTGTTTTTCCTTTTGTCGACAATTCTTTCCACCTAGGTATGGGAGAAAGGTTAAAGAACAAACCTCATTACTTGAGTAACCTACAAGTGTAACAAGGAAACATTTCTGATTACTATAACCATGACCACTACACTACAATCACCACTACCACAGGCCACAAAGTTAATCTTTTTGTTCCTGGCCAACCTGAGATGGGGGAATGAGGGGGAGGGGAACGGGACAGAACAGCAACATCCTTGCCATGAGCTCAAACTACATGCTTATATTTTATACTCAAATGTATGGGTAGTATACACAAATCAAAATGTTATGTGACACCCCATTTATTTATTTTAACAGCTTTATGATGTTAAGAGCAGTTAAATTATTTTTCTTTAAAAAAAAATACATACAACAAAACTAAAACAAAACTGATATAGCCTTCTAAAAGTCAGGGCTAAGGCAGAAGAGCTGTTGCCATTTCAAGGCCAGTCAGGGATACACAAGAGAACCCTGTCTTAAAACACCAGTTGTGTTTTAACCACAAGAACTATTGGTAATTTCAGAAATGTATCTTTGTTTTAAGTATAAAATGAAAATATATTTATAGCTATCAAAATAAAAATATATCCACAAATGTGCACAAGGGAGTTTCTTCATGATTCAAAGGGGCTTTTAATTTTGACACTCAGCCCTACCACATGAGTTGGAGCTCCTAATCACAGCTAGGGCAGATGAGCCACCCGCACGCAGGAAGCTATGAACAGCAAGGGCTTTCTGTGGCGTGCAGCTGATGCAAGCAATGAGTCTGATGAATGTGACTTTGAAGTGCTCACTGACCACCAACAGGGCCGTTCCTCTAATGAGATGCTCTAGGACAGTCAGGCTATTTCCCCTCACATCATGGCTTTAGTTTTTATGCTAACATCTTTAAAAGAAAGTGATGCTAATCTTTTAGTGGTGATATGTTGTGTATTGTTTTGTATGCATCTATTATTGTACTGGATTCTATTACTTTGACTTTCTAAGTGTAAAAGGCAGACATATAATTCAGATGAAGGAAAATATGACATTAATGTCCACATGTTATTGCAGAAATACCCATAACCTGTTACGACACCGACGCTTAATGTAAATGTTCCACGGAGGCCAGGTGTGATTTTGTGTCATGTCTGGCAGACAGAGGCCCACATCAGCTAACCGCTTTTTAATTGAGGCCACAAAGGAGCCCATCAATTCTCAAACCATCAGTGTGTTTCTTGCAAAGTTAGAAGACCCAGTGAATGCCAAGTTCTCTAATATTCCAAATTAGTGCCTGTTGACTGACTGAAGCTCTAAAAAACAAAAAACAAAACAACAACAACAAAAAAAAACATTCTCCAATGTATCTATTTAAGATGCAGAGAGAATTAAAGCCCTTAACTCCCTTAACTGTAGGACAGCTTCAATTTAAACATTCATTGTTGCTTCTGTGTGAGGAGGATAAAGAACAGAAAGACTTGTTTCAACAGGAGGCAGATTGCACACCAACAACAGGTCTTCTGAGTGAAGAATTGCTGTCGGGACGATGTGAGCTGGTCTGCACATCTGGTGACACAGAAATTAAAGGCTCTGCGAGGCTCATTCGTGCTCCTTGATGTGAGCCTTTCAATGGAAGGCAAAGGCGCATTTCTAGAAAATGCCACAAATATCAATTTCACGGTAGCTGTAGTTCCAAAGTTTTAAATGTGCATAGGAAAGAGATTATGTCTTAAAGGGAAATTATTTTTATGCTGTTTTAGAGATTACGTCTTAAAGGGAAATTATTTTTTATGCTGTTTTTGTTCCCCTAAATCCATTTCCACCCCAGAAGTATGCACTCAAGCAAAGTGCCACCTTTCCCCCCACTTCCATGCTCTGAAAGCTGAGAAGGACATGGGGACACAGAATGGTTTCTTTCTCTCCTTTATCCCAAATGCTGGGTCCTCTCTGCTGGGCCCCCATGATCTTGCACCTATCTCTGCCAAAGGAGATGCAGCATGGGGACCAGCCTCGGCAGTTAACCTGGGTACACACATGTTCTCAAATGCTCAGGACTGACCTGTTCAGAAATGCCAAAAGAAGGCAGTACTAAGCCAGTGGGCACCTTATGGCCACTGCTAAAGGGTCACATGCTCTCCCAAATACTCAATTCTTCTCAGAGGCAAGGAAGCAGAAGAAAAATCAGTGACGTAGCAAGAGCTAAAAATGGAGAATCTTGTAGTTTCCTGTGCTATAAAAATTCCTTTATTAGGTTATTTAAAAATACAGAACCCATTGTTTGAGTCTACCATAATCTGTAGTTGCTAGCCCCTCAGACTACAGGGAACAATCTGACACTTGGGTATATACTTGCAACTAAATCTTGCAATGGAGTCACCATACAAGTTGACACAACCTAGTGACCAGGACACAATAAACCTGGAGTTGGAGAGGTCGAGTTACAAACTGCACACAAGGTACCAAACACAAACTTCAAAAACTGGGGACCTGAGTATGTTTTTGCCACCACTAGCAAACATTGTCTCCTTTGACACTGGAAACTGCTGTGGGCTGACTATGTATCTGAGCAGCTAACATTAATTTACCTACAAACAGGCATCACTTACATTTAAGAGTGTTGGAACAATAAACAGGAAAATTATTTTCCGAGTCCTTTCACAGTGGCAACGGAAAACAATTATCAGATGAGCACAAAAACTTCTTTCTTCAAACCTCAAACACTTTCTGAGAGTCTACAACCCCAGATGAATGTTTCTGAAATTTCTCAGGACGTGCCTTCCTCATGGTGTGCCTAAAGGCACAGGTCTAGTGACATAAGGTCAATGCCAAGAATTTCATACAATATAATTGTCTGTGGAAGGAGCTAATGTTCAGGCAGGCCCACAGAATAGCTTGAAGGTTATTAATGCCAGAACTCAGTGAAAGAAAAGGGCAGGAAGATCCCACCCAAATCACTATCTTTAATAGTGTTACCCAGAGTCACACGTGAAATGAAAATTTAAACATGAAATTCAAACCCTGTGCCCTTATTTGTCTATACAGTAAGTCAACTGAAATTCTGAATTAGGATTTTCTTCTCAAACTCCATCTAAAAGCCAAAATGTGAGACAAGTAAAACCCAACCTTCTATAATATTAGACCCCTCCGATAACTTGCAAAGCTATGGAATTAATTGCCATGGAGCAGTTAACACCCAAGCCATCTCTTCACAATCACGGTCTAGGGTCCCTAGGTCCAGTAATGTGTACCAAGGTTCTTGGGACTGCAGAAGTCAGAATGGAAAACATGGCAGATTTGTAGGGATGCAAGCGCAGAAGGCTAACTCCGTTACTGCTGCAGTTTAAAGAAAAAACCTGCCTAAAGCATGCAAAATATCATTACCAGCTGCAAAGCCAAGATTGCAGAACTCTGGCACATCAGAGTCCACACCACCCTGGTAGCAGCATGTTTGCCAGGAGCATGAGGAGGTTCCTTGGACCAGTATGAAGCCACGAACAATGCTGAGTGGAGAGAATAGTGTATTAAAGCCCTACTTGTAGCAAAAGAACTTTGGGAACCTGTAAGATGCAAAAGATGAAGATAACAAATCTGTCATGAATGTGAGGAACAAGAAAAGCCACCTCACCTTTTAAGGATAGTTTTTTATCCCGGCATGAAAGCAATATGGATTCCATAGAAACTGTACTTCAAACTCAGAATCTTGACCTTCTAGGCTAGTGGGAACACAGCTGGACCCCGCTGTGCTGCACAGCTGCAGCTCCTGTCACCAGGGGAAACAGCTGGCTGGCTGACTCTATTGGGTGAGGAACCGCTGAGTGCTCCTTTGGTACTTAAAACTATGTGAAGTGTGTGTGTGTGTGTGTGTGTGTGTGTGTGTGTGTGTGTGTGTGTGTGTGTGTGTGAGAGAGAGAGAGAGAGAGAGAGAGAGAGAGAGAGAGAGAGAGAGAGATTTTCAACTTCTAGCAGGTTTTCTGAGAGGTAATCCCATCAGAAGTGGAGCATCTATATTACATCTATATTACTATTCCACAGCCAAAAGAATTTAAACACAACTATCTGAAGCCACTACAAAGAAACCCCAAAAGAAAACGGGAACAGGGAAACACGCCGCTTCATGCTTTAGCTGGCAGGACTCTGACAGAAAACACAGACAGAGGACAAGCCTGGGTTGTAAGTAAAGGAGAACTCTTGGAAGGAGGCAGACAGGACCCATCACAGAAGCATGAGGACCAACCAAACCAACTTATTAGCCCCTCCAAACCCCAGGCACATTCCTGAGCGTGTCCCAGGGCCCCTGAAATCACAGTCAGTGACTTACCAACGGCTATGGTTTGTTACAGAGGAAGGACACTGTGACAATCAGCAAAATGGGTGATGTATGCATGGCACTGAGCAGGTGTAAGTTCAAAAGATAACCCACCCTGTGGAGCCACACAGGACATACACTTGCATAACCCTAAGCAAAGAGCTGCCATCTCAGGGCCTGGATCTGAAAATGCCTCAAAAGCAAAGGAGCTTCCCTTCTGGGGTGGTGAGCAAAGGGCCCAGTAGACACCCCCCCCCCCCAAAGCGGTTTTGTTTGCTTGTTTTTGAAGACTCCATGATTAATAAAGCAAGAATGTGATTTCCCTGATGAGAAGGAGGGGAAAATTAAGGGATTCCTCCAGCCAGCCCAGTACACAGGGGCTCTAGTCCATAAAGGTGCCCTTGAAAACAAGAACAAAAGGCTGTCAGAAGACACCTTGGTCATCAGAGTGAACCAGTGGGGGGAAATGACTGAGCATGCCCCTTATGGGTGGGTTAAGTATAAATGTTGAAGACTGGTTTCAAACACCACCCCAGCTTAGATTTAATGGGATCAGACTTGTGAGCAATTTACACAGCAGGCACTGTCAAAATCAATGGTGTAGACAGCCTGTATATAAAGTATGTAATGAGCTTAACACCAATGGAAACAGCTTATCAGAATGCAGTCAAAGAGACAGCCTTTCAAAACACTGTCACTGGCCCCAGCCTGGGAGCTGTTACTCCA